AACGGGGTGGTCCTACCGTTCAGGCGTGGTTGTTCACAATGAATGTCTTCTTCGACGCCAACTACGTCTCGGAGGACTCGGCGAAGATTCGATACGCCGTGTCGCTGCTGCGAGGACCCGCCATGGACTGGTGGCGCGTCATCGTCACGAAGCCGACAGACTACGCGACACTACCAACACGGGAAGGACAAACCGGACCCTGGGCGCCGTCGTATTTCGTGGAGGTGCCCCAGTATCGCACGTGGGACGCGTGGTGCGCAGGTTTGCGCGCTCGATTTGAGCCAATTGCGGCTTCGATCGCGGCGCGACAGAAGCTCCGCACTTGGCGCCAACTCGGTTCCGTCCAGGACTACACGAGCGGATTTCTGGCGCTATGCGAACAGGTGGGCTACATGCATGAGAGCGAGCGCATCGACCGCTACATCGGCGGCCTGAAGCAGGACATCGCTCAGGAAATCCAGCTTCGCGGCGTCACCGAATTTCAGGAAATTCTCGCTATGGCGGAGAAGCTCGACTTCTTTCGCCGACCGAGACCGGGGTCCTACGGAAACAACTGTGAAAGAGAGAACGAGAATGAAATGACTATGAAAGAAGTGAGTACAAATAGGAAACCCTAATTGGTTGTACCCCCTATGGGATACCCCACTATAGCCTACACAATAGTATAAGCTATATAGTTCTGACAACAACAACTGGGGACATCGGCCTCGTGGGACGAACGAAAGCGCCACGATACGCGCCGTCGCCGCAAATGCCGTTGCCGCACCGTTCAAAGGGCGCTGCTTTGCGTGCAATCGGCCGGGACATCGCAAGAGCGAATGCCCGGAAAACGCTAAGGGAAAGGGGGAAGCTGAGCAGCAGACACAGACCAAGCAGCAGGGAAACGCTGGAAGTCAGTAGCAGACGGGCCCCCTACTGACAGGTCACGCCGCTCGCCCGACCCAACCGACCCTCACCGAGTGATTGTGCCGGTTCACGCAATCGACCACACCCGGCCGAATAAGGAGGGTACCACGGTAGACAGCCCTATACTGCTCAGTGGGAAAATTGGGACGGACTTAGTTAAAATCTTCGTAGACGGGGGAGCCAGCCACAGCCTCATTAACACTGCTACAGCACGGAAACTGCGACTGCCGCTGGACAGATGCTTACCTGAGATCGACGCACGACTGGTAGACGGTACGCCGCTGGCAATACGGGAACGCGTAAACCGAGTTCGGATTCGATGCGGGGGTAACTTCACGTTTAGCCAGGAAATGCTCGCAACGACCCTCGACGGAACCGACATTTTACTCGGGCGTGATTGGCTGCGACGACACAATCCGCGAATTGACTGGACGACGGGTGACTGCACCGTGCGAGTGAACGGTAACAACATCGCCTTACCTCGCTGGGGCTCGCCTGGGTCTTCGTCGGTGCGTGTCAATGCGATCACAATGAAACGCGCTGTAGCGGCCGGAGCTGACGTGTACGCGGTTGACATTCGGGAAGCCGAGGCAGCAGACAAGGGAGGGGATTTACAGAAACTGCTGACCGACGTACCGGGTGATCTGGCAGCACTGTTAACACGATACAGTGACATTTTCCCGGATGACTTACCGACGGGACTGCCACCTCAGCGACCGCACGATCACAGGATAGAACTGGAACCGGGGGCACAGCCAACAGTACAGCGACAGTTCAGACTGACCCAACCCGAACTAGACGAACTCAGGAAGCAGCTCGATTACCTGTTCGAGAAAAAATTCATTCGCCCTAGCTCGTCGCCCTTCGCCGCACCAATACTGTTCACACCGAAAAAGGACGGGGGTTTTCGCATGTGCATCGACTACAGGGCATTGAACAGGGTTACCATCAAATCCCGTTACCCCATCCCACGAGCCGACGAACTGATCGACCAACTGCGAACAGCCCGGGTTTTCTCGAAAATCGACCTCCGAGGAGGCTACCACCAAATCCGCGTCAACCCACCCGACTGCCCCAAAACCGCATTCCGAACACGCTACGGATCCTTCGAATACACCGTCATGCCATTCGGACTGACCAACGCCCCCGCCACTTTCCAAATGACCATGAACGAAGCATTCCGCCCACTTTTAGATAAGTGCGTCATCGTTTACCTGGACGACATACTGATTTAAAGCCCTGACAGAGCACAGCACTTACAAGACATCGAAGCAGTTTTTAAAATCCTGAGTGAGAACCGCCTACTGACCAAAGCATCTAAGTGTGAGTTTTTACAGGACCGCCTGGAGTTTTTGGGACATGTTATTTCAGCTGCAGGAGTGGAAATAGACCCGAAGAAAATTGCGACGATTCAGGCTTGGCACGCGCCGACCAACTTGACCGAGTTGCAGAGTTTCCTGGGGTTCGTCAACTACGTGCGCCGGTTCGTCTCCGACATGGCGAAGCTGACTGCCCCGTTGACCGACCTGCTGAGGAAGGGGGTTGAGTACACGTGGGGGGAGAAAGAGCAAGCTGCCTTCTCGGCTCTCAAAAATATTTTGTGCTCCCCGCCCGTCCTTCGCATTGCAGACCCCCACCGTCCGTTCGAGCTCGTCACCGACGCAAGTGACATCGCTGTGGGAGCAGTACTGTTGCAGGACTTCGGGAACGGCCTCCAGCCAATCGCGTACGAGTCCCGCAAGCTACACCCGCCGGAACGCAACTACCCGATACACGACCGTGAAATGCTGGCGATCGTGCACGCGTTCAAAGTTTGGCGGTGTTACCTGACTGGCGCCGACGTGACAGTACGGACAGACCACCGTTCACTACAGTACCTTCGCGCCCAACCGAATCTCAACCCACGACAGATTCGCTGGCTGGACTATCTTGAGTCCAATTTTCACTACACCGTCACGTACAAAAAAGGAGCATCCAACATCGCCGACGCTCTCACCCGCCCCACCGCCCAACTCCACGCCATCCTACTCGCCCAGACCAACCCACTTTTAACTGGCCTATTCACCCACGGATACCGCACCGACCCATTTTTCACGACCGGAAATTCACAGCAACTGGCAGAAGCAAAAGGAGTCTATTACGTAAAAACAGGCACCAACCGCATTTGGGTACCCGCGTACTCACTACTGAGGGAGCTGCTGCTGCAGGAGGCATACGACGGGATTACCTCGGGACATTTCGGGGTAGAAAAAACACGACAGCAACTGCAGCGGTACTATTACTGGCCGGAGCTGTTGACCGACGTACAGCAGCACGTGTGCTCGTGCCCTACGTGTCAGGTGATAAAGAGTTCAAGGAAGCGGAAGGCGGGTCAATTGCAGCCGATCCCACCGCCCGAACGCGCCTGGCAGCAAGTAACCATGGACTTCGTCACAGGGTTACCTTCGAACCCTGGGGGTAACGACGCGGTGATGGTCGTCGTGGATAGGCTGACGAAGATGGCACACTTCGCTGCGTGCAAAAAGTCGATCTCAGCCGAGGAGACCGCTCGCCTGTTCATCGCAGCCGTTGTTCGCCTGCACGGGATACCAGCAGCAATTATCAGCGACAGGGACACGAAGTTTACCAGCAACTTCTGGAAGAACCTCTGGGAGCAGTTCGGGACTAGGCTACAGTTCAGTTCGTCATACCACCCCGAGACCGACGGCCAAACGGAGCGGACGAATCAGACGATGGAGCAGTTGATTCGTGCCACGTGCGACGACCCCACGACCTGGGAGCAGCAGCTACCGCTGATCGAGTTCGCGTACAACAACGCCACATCAGCCACGACGCAGCAGTCCCCGTTCTACCTGAACTATGGGCAAAACCCCACAGTGCCCATGACGCCGAGTCCGGACAACCCAACGCCACGTGCACAACAATTCGCCGAAGTCCTGCAAGCTGCCCGCGCCAGAGCCGCCGAAGCAATAAAAAAGGCCAACGTCATCGCTAAGCGCAACGCTGATCGCCACCGCCGCCCTGTCACGTACCAATCTGGAGATTACGTGCTGCTCGACACGCAAAATCTGCGACTGCCCGACGTACCGAAATTACGACCGCGCTACTGTGGACCATTCCAAATCAGTCACATGATCACACCCGTCACCGCACACCTACTGTTGCCAACCGACTGGTACATCAGCCCTTCGTTCCACGTCAGCCTACTTCGCCCATACATCCCGACCACAAGTCAACTGCCGCGTCACCGCCCACAATCAATGACTCGCCCTGCATCGGAGCCGATCATCGAGCCCGAAAAAATCCTAAGCCATCGGATCCGCCACCCCACGGGAATCAGGAGGATTGAATTCCTCGTTCGCTGGAAGGACCGCATGCCAACTGAAGACAGCTGGGTGCCCCTGCCCAACATCGAAAACCACTCTGCCCTGCAAGTGTACCTGAGGAGCCGGGGATTCCGCGATATACACGCACTCGCGTAGCGGAGGGGGCTTCTTAAGGGGGGGGGGTAGTGTAAGGAATTTTCTCGGCATTCCTTAAGGAGCCGACTACATCGCGTACAGCAACAGCCGATTGTTCGCCCGTTACTGCTAACGGAACTTCGCCGACTTCGCGCGCACTGTTTTGCCAAACCTCGCACTGCTGGCATGGCCGTATCGGCCTACGCTTCGGGACTAGCCCGAGCCTCGCTCCAGCGTAGCACTAGCAAGCTCGCACGCACCGCGTTACCGTTTTGCATGTTTCGCGTATAAATGTTCGCTCATGCCTTCGCTCACATTTTGTACTCGTTTGACACCTTAGTGCAATTCTCGCTACTTCGATTCATTGCACCCGTGACAACTCTTATATAAATCCTTGTATTTGCTTGTTTAATTTAATCTACTTTGCTCTCACACACCAGTGCAAGGTCGGTTCACAATCCTCATTAAACGCTTCCGCTATTACAAGTTTCTACCCAAGAGTTCTCCTCTGCAAAGATCCTAAGGGCTATTTTTTCAGCCCAACAGTTCTGACCACGCTCCACTTTTGCAGCCGCCTCCATGTTCTTTGTGATGGAAGTTCACATGTTTCAACCAGTCAGCACCAATTCACATCTACCCAGAGAGGAGAATCTTCCCTTGGCGGTTCTCCACCATCTGGTTCTTGAGAGCAGCGGCAAACTCTGAGAGGTCCATTTTATCGCCAGTAAACGGGGTGACGGTGCCATTGGCGATGAGATCAAACGCCTCCCTCACCACCACCTGCCGCTGCTCGTGGCTCAGCGCCTTTAAGCAAGGGCCCACCCAGAAGCCCTTGAGCGTCACACCCCTGCGTTGCGCAGTTGGGAATGGGAAAAACACACCAAGGGAGTTGTGATACGAGGCAAGGCGAGCTCTGGTACAGATCCGTTTGTGTGAACTTCACCACGAGGGGTTAAGTGAGCATAAAAACAGTTGATAAGCTGGCCAAGGAAGGGCGAGCAAGCAGCATCTGACCTGAGTTGAACCACACAATGAGAACGAAAAGTTCAGCGACCTGAAAATGAAGTCCCCAATGGAGGCGGAGAAGGTGGCCCCGGATGCGCCCCCAAAGAGCAGCACGGTGCCGCCCGGACGCACGGAGGAGAGCACTGCGCCCGTGAGGTCGCCCGCCACGCTCTCCACCGCTGCATGCGCCAATCTGCCTCTCGTTATGGCGCGCACCATATCTGGTACGCTCTCATCTGTTGAGCAGATCACCTGCACGTGAGCATGGGGTTGTGCATGGGGATGGGGATGGGAGGGGCGATGGGACGAGACGAAAGTGAACGATCCTCATCACTGCACCCACGCCTGCCTTGCCAGTCATATGCGCTTAACTTACCACAGCATGCGCCGCAGGAGTTACGGGATTCAAGCACGCAGGCACGTGCACAGGAAATGTGGGAGGCAAATTTACTGATAACTTCTAAAGGAATGACAGAGGGCTCATACAGCAACATGAGTGGGGGCTCAGGGAATACAAGCCAGAATGAAAGGCTCATGTCTCACAGGCGAGTGAGATCACCCACTGAATGATGCTCATCGCTGCACCCACGCCTGCCTTGCCATTCACGTGCGCTGCGTTTGGCATGAGCAAGAGTTGTCCTATGCATGCGCGCAGGCACCCGTACAAAAGCAAATTTACGTGGCAATGGTTGACAGGGTTAGCAGAAGGCGTGGCGAGTGGGTGCTCAGGGAATACAAGCCAGAGTGTTGGGCTCATGTCTCACAGGAGAGTGAGATCACCCACTGAATGTTGTTCATCACTGCACCCATGCCTGCCTTGCCAATTACATGCGCTGGGCTTGCCGCAGTATGAGCAAGAGTTAAGTGTTGCACGCGCACTGGCACCCGTACGGATATGCTTTGCAGGGGAAACAGACGTATCAGAAGGCGAGGCGAGTGGGGGCTCAGGGAATACAAGCCAGAGTGTTGGGCTCATGTCCCGCAACGTGAGATCACCCAATGAATGATGCTCATCACTGCACCCACGCCTGCCTTGTAGGTCACATATAAACCGAACTTATTGCATAAATCAAGTGCACCGGCAATGCGCGAAGCACATATTCACTGTAGCCCGTTCAATTGACTTTCTTCACTTCGTCATTGGGTTCCAGAAAACCGTCCCAAACCAGACTGCAGCAGCTTTGGAAAGATGAGGGTTCACCGGCGCAGCGAGCGCACTGACGCTATCAAGGAGCGGTGGTGAGTGGGGAGAAGTGTCCTTCCCGCTCGTCCACGCGCCGCACCACCACGACCCGGGCCAACGCGTTGCGCATTTGCAGCAGCTCTGATGGGTAGGAAGGGGAAAAAGGAAAGGTTTGTTTCCGGGACTAAGACGGAGGGGAAGGAGGCGGGACGAGAGGGTTTTGGGGGGAGGATAACGGGAATGCAGGGGACGGAACGGGAGAGACCGGGAGGGGCGGAGGAAGGAGGTGAGGAGCGGAGCAGTGCGCGTGAGCAGGAGTAAGGGCGGTACGAGATGGCGCATGCAGAATGAGTTCACGTGCAAGTGCGGATAAAACGGAGTGAGAGTGGGCGGGGAGAGCGGACGCATTCGGCAGGGCGGGGAAAGATGAGAAACACCACTGCTCTGCGCACTAAGGCTAAGAATTAAATCTGAATGAGCTGCTTCTGACATGGCCGGACGGAGACTGGGGGATTTCAACTGAAGAACCCTCGAACCTGATCTCCCTGTGCAAAATCAAGGGGTTGGCGACAGATGCGAAAGAAAGCGGCATTTCTCGAGCTCTGCCCCACGTCACCCAGGGGTGGGTGGCTGCAGACCCTCGGTAAAACCCGTGGACAGAATAATCAAATTACTAGCTAATGACGAACGTGTACAGCCAAATATTAGATCAGCTATACTACAGACAGCAGGGCCGTAAGGACTGAACCAGTGTTACAATTTCTCCAGCAATGTCTCATGCAGACTGCAATAATCAAATCTATCCCGAGAGAAGAATCTTCCCTTGGCGGTTCTCCGCCATCTGGTTCTTGAGCGCAGTGGCGAACTCTGGGAGGTCCATTCTATCGCCCGTGAATGGAGTGACGGTGTTATTGGCGATGAGATCAAACGCCTCCTTCACCACCGCCTGCCGCTGCTCATGGCTCAGCGCTTTCAGGAAGGGGCCCAACCAAAAGCCCTTGAGCGTCACATCCCTGCATTGGAAGCAGGGAATGGGAAAAACACACAAAGGGGGGGCTCGTGATATGAGGCAAGCCGAGCACTGGAACAGATCAGCGTGAATTTTCCCACAAGGGGTTGAACGAGCGCCCGAGCAGAAAATAAGCCGGCCAATGAGAAGCAAGCAGCTTCTGACCTGCGTCGAATTGCAATGAATTAGACCTCATCCACCTGTAGATGAAGTCGCCAACGGAGGCTTAAATACAGTGAATTCAACTTCACCGACCTGAAGATGAAGTCGCCAATGGAGGCGGAGAAGGTGGCCCCAGAGGCGCCTCCAAAGAGCAGCACGGTGCCGCCCGGGCGCACAGAGGAGAGCACTGCACCGGTGAGGTCGCCCGCCACGCTCTCCACCGCTGCATGCGCCATGTGCCCGCCCGTTATGGTGCGCACCCTCTCTGGCACACTCTCGTCCGTTGAGCAGATCACCTGCATGTGAGCATGGGATTGTGCATCGGAGTGAGCAGTGTGATCATGAGGATTATGTGTGCGCTGAGCTCTATGAGCAGCTGTGCATACTGAGCTCTCGTATGGCGTCCCTGTTGGCAGCGGTTGGGGAGGGTGATGGGAGGATCATGAGGTTTACGGCCGTGAGGTCTCACACAACGCAATGCAATGCTGGGTGAGGCCTTGATCTCCTACCCAGCATTTCGTTGCGTGAGACCTCACGGCCGTAAACCTCATGATCCTCCCTTCACCCTCCCCAACCGCTGCCAACAGGGACACCATACGAGAGCTCAGTATGCACAGCTGCTCATAGAGCTCCGCGCACACATAATCCTCTCGTACCTCCCTCCCTCCCTCCTCCACCATGTCTCCCCTTCCGCCTGCCCCGCTCTGTCTCCCTTCCCCCCACCCCCACAAGCACCCCCTCCTCCTCCTCGCCTCACCTCATCGCCGCCCAGCGCCTTGAGCTCGGCGGCCTGGGCGGCGCGGCGCACGACGTTGATTGTCCTGATGCCGCGCGCGCGCGCCACCTGGATGAGCATGCGGCCCAGCGTCGACCCCGCCTGCGTCTGCAACAGGTACTCGCCTGGGGGCGGGGAGTGGGGGAAACCGGGAGGGGGAAGGGGGAGACGCGTTGAAGGAGAGGGGGGGGAGAAGGGGAGGGAGAGTGGATGGCTGCGCTGTCCTGCACATGCGTCCATCAGACATGTATAGCTTGCCGCCGCGCTGCCTCAGCACATGCGGCCCAGCGTCGACCCCGCCTGCGTCTGCACTAGATACTCACCTGGGGGGGAGAAGGCGGGGAGTGGGGGGGAAATCGGGGAAGGGGAAGGACAGCGAGGGGGATATGTGCGAGTGAGCACATGGAGAGCACGTGAGTGTGCGCGCCACCTGGATCAGCATGCGGCCCAGCGTCGACCCCGCCTGCGTCTGCACCAGATACTCACCTGGGGGGAGAAGGCGTGCAATGAGGGAAATGAGAGCGTGGAAGGGATTGGGAAGGGGAGGGAATCGGAGTGTGCAGGGGTGGAGGTTTGAGAGGGGGGAAGGCACTGGCAGTGGAAGGGAAGGGGACGGGTGAGGGTGTTATGTGCGTGTGCACAGCACATCTAGGCCCTCATCATTCCGCTCCTCCTCATTCCGCTCCTCATCATTCCGCTCCTCCTCATTCCGCTCCTCATCATTCCGCTCCTCCTCATTCCGCTCCTCATCATTCCGCTCCTCCTCATTCCGCTCCTCATCATTCCGCTCCTCCTCATTCCGCTCCTCATCATTCCGCTCCTCATCATTCCGCTCCTCCTCATTCCGCTCCTCATCATTCCGCTCCTCCTCATTCCGCTCTTCATCATTCCGCTCCTCCTCATTCCGCTCCTCCTCATTCCGTCCCCCCATAATTCCGTCCCCCCATCATTCCGCCCCCAATCATTCCGCCCCAAATCATTCCGCCCCCATCATTCCGCCCCCATCATTCCGCCCCCAATCAGTCCGCCCCCGATCAGTCCGCCCCCATCAGTCCGCCTGTAAGTCCGCGTCTCACCCTTGGGAACGTTCAGTTGGTTCAGCATGCCCAGCACCGTCAGCGGATTCACCGCCAGTTGCGCCGCGTCCTCGTCGCGCACCCCCGCGGGCACCGCCGCCACATGCGCCGCGTCCACCGCTACGTACTCCTGCCACGCGCCGCCGCCCGCCTCCAGCGCGCCAAGCGCGAGCAGCGGCACGACGCGCCGCCCCACCGCCAGATCCGGCGCCGATTGCGCTGCCGCTTCGCCCAGCGCCGCCACGACTCCCATGCCTTCCAGCCCGAGAGTTGCGGGGAGCGCGCTTGCCGGCGCGAATCCCGGATAGTAGCCCATGGCGCAGAGGCCGTCCGCGGGATTCACGGGCCGAAGCTGCATCCGAACCAGAACCTGGTTCGGGCCGAGGCTAGGGACGGGCTTGTCTGTTACGAGCCGCAGGTTGTCTGCGAGGCGCTTCGGCCCCTCGTATGCGAGCACTGTAGCTGCGCGCTGCGTCGCTGGGATCTCGGCGGCGGATGACGTGGCCATCGCGCGATGCGGCAGGCACGAAGGGCCGGGAGACGGCGGCGTGACGTGCGGCGGCGTGTGCGGGGCAAGAGGCGCGAGTGCGGCGAGGGAGAAGGCTCGGAGAGGAGCTGATCTGGCGCGGAGGTGAGGAGAGGTGGGTACTACTAGCAGAGGAGGAAACGCGAGGGAAGCGAGGGAGACAAGGGAGGCGAGGCGGGCGGGTGCTTTGGTAAGCATGACCAGGCAACCAGGGGGGGCGGCGGAGGCGAGCGCGCTGAGCAAGCACGCGGATCTGGATGAGATGTGTGACGAGGAGCAGGAGGATAGCTGGCCGAAGAATGATGAACGGGTGCGTGGCGTGGAAGCGTAGGTGTGGTAAGAGGGAGGGGAGGGGCGAATTTCCTGTTTCCATTCTCCAACATTGTGCGACGCACGCGCGGACGCGTGGCTACCCACGCCCGGACGCGTGGCTACCCACGCCACGCCAGATGCATCCGCCGCGGATCGAAAAGCACATGCGCGTTTATGCAGACTCCGGTAGCAATTATAAGTGGCACCAAATAAAACTAAACAAAGCAACTACCGTATGATGCAACCGCGGCACCACTAAAATGAAGATGCTTGCACAAAGTGACAAAAGCCCAGTCGGTGATCTATTGCGCAGCCGCGGAGGCTGAGAGCACATCAGCGGAAACCCAGGTGTGGGTCTTGGTGGGAATGATACCCTGGCGACAGTAAAACACACACGCCGGTTGCTTCACCTGCGCGCGCGCCTCATCACTGCACGCGGGCGGCCAGTCGGTCGGCAGAGCGGGCGGCTGGGAGGTGCCGGTGGTGCTGGGGTCAGCGAGGGCGAGAATGGCGGGGCTGAGCTGCTTGCGGCACAGCTGCTTGCCAGGCGGGCGGATGAGCGAGGGGTCCTCCATGGCGTTACGGGAGTACTTTATAAGGAGGATGGCCCAGTAGAGCGCGTGGCCCTTCTTGGAGCATGCCCATCTGCGTGTGGGGGAGGGAAGGGCACGACGTGGGAGACAAGGGGTGGGGGTGGAGGTGGGTATACGAATGTGCGTGAGGGCTGAGAGCAGCAGTCAGATCATGGAAGCGCGTGGTCTTGCTTGGAGCAAAGGCATCTGGGTGGGACGGAGGGAGAGGCACAGCATGATGGTATGTGATGGCCGGAATATGCATGGATTGCAAGCATGGGGATGGGGAGGTGTATGCACATGGGGCAGGAAAGGCAAATGTATGAGCAGGTACTGACAGCATGGCACAGCACTAGGATGGTTTTGAACCGCCTCAGCAACAGCCCTGGGAATCACTTCGGCGCGTTGGCACAGTGGCACACAAGACGAGACTTACTTTGCGACGCGCTTCCCCGCCAGTGCCATGTTGCGCACGTGCCTGTCGTGGTTCTGCGCCCACCGCAGCTTCTCCACCAGGTTGTCAAAGTGCCGGTTGGCGGGTATGAAGTTGACGTACGGCTTCAGCATCGGCACAAAGAACTCCGAGTAGGGTGAGTCCTGCCTGATGGCCACCTGCAGTCACGTCCATCAAGGGGGAGGGAGGGGAGAGTGGGAAGGGAGAGAATGTGGTGGGTGGGGTGTACCGGGTTGCGGGGATGAAGTTGACGTACGCCTTCAGGCACAAAGAACTCTGAGTATGGCGAGTCCTAATAGCATAACAGCCTAACAGTGTAACAGCCTAACAGCGTAACAGCGTAACAGCGTAACAGCCTAAAAGCGTAACAGCCTAAAAGCGTAACAGCCTAAAAGCCTAACAGCCTGACAGCGTAACAGCGTAACAGCGTAACAGCCTAACAGCGTGACAGGCTAAAAGCGTAACAGCGTAACAGACTAACAGCCTAATAGCGTAACAGCATAACAGCATAACAACCTAACAGCATAACAACGTAACAGCCTAACAGCGTAACATCCTAACAGCGTAACAGCCTAACAGCGTTACAACCTAACAGCGCAACAGCCTAACAGCGTAACAACCTAACAGCGTAACAGCCTAACAGCGTAACAGCCTAACAGCCTAATAGCCTAACAGCGTAATAGCCTAACAGAGTAACAGCCTGACAGCGTAATTGCGTAACAGCATAATTGCGTAACAGCGTAACAGCCTAACAGCGTAACAGCCTAACAGCGTAACAGCCTAACGGCTTAACAGCCTAACAGCGTAACAGCCTAACGGCGTAACAGCCTAACCGCGTAACAGCCTAACCGCGTAACAGCCTAACCGCATAACAGCCTAACAGAGTAACAGCCTAACAGCGTAACAGCCTAACAGCGTAACAGCCTAACAGCGTAACAGCCTAACAGGGTAACAGCCTAACAACTAACAGCCTAACAGCTAACAGCATAACAGCGTAACAACGTAACAAGGTAACAGCCTAACAGCTAACAGCATAACAGCGTAACAACGTAACAAGGTAACAGCCTAACGGCCTACCGCACGCTCATACGCTGCACCGCCCGCCCATACCCTGCACCGCCCGCTCATACGCTGCACCGCCCGCTCATACGCTGCACCGCCCACTCATACGCTGCACCACCCGCTCATACGCTGCACCACCCGCTCATATGGTGCGTACGCTCAGCTCGGCGCCTCAAAAGTCAGCTCACCTGCGTGCCAGTGGTGGGGATGGGGCGCATCTAATGGTGGTGGGGTGCGCACTGTGGGTGTCCTCAAGTTCGCCCAGGGGCCCATGTCGGTAGCCCACTCACCCGTGTGTGCTCTCACGTGTGTGTTTTCTCACTCACCTGCGCGCCAGTGGTGAGGATGGGGCACATCTGGTGGTGGTGCGCACTGCTGAGGGGTGGCAGGGGCGCATGTCAGTGCTCTCACCAGCGGTCTGTGTTCTCACCAGCGCACCTTATAAATCAATTCACCTGCTCGCCAGTGGTGAGGATGGGGCACATCTGGTGGTGGTGGGCGCTGCCTGCCACAATGCCATACTTGAAGCGCGCCGGTGCTGCCTCCTCCACTGCCGCCCTGCCCTGCATCGCCACCCCGTCCGCCTTCATCCTGCAGAAGAGAGTGGGGGGGTGGGAGGAGGGGGAAGGGACGAGGAAGAGAGGGGATAGATGGAGGGATAAATTGACTGCCGCCCTCCCTGCATCGCCACCCCGTCCGCCTTCATCCTGCGAAGCGAGGGGATAAGTAAGAGAATGGGGAGACGGGAAGAGGTCAAAGGGAGGGGAGAGAGGTGGGGAGAGTGGGGAGGGAGGAAGGGTTAATATGACTGCCGCCCTGCCCTGCATCGCCTCCCCCTCCGCCTTCATCCTGCCAACAAAGGGGAGGGGGGTGGGGGAGGAGGGAGGAGGAGGCAGTGAGGAGGGGGCAGGAAACGGAGGAGGTTTCCTGCATCACTCACTGACTGACTGCCGCCCTGCCCTGCATTGCCACTCTGCCCTCTCGCATCCTGCAGCGTCACCAACAATGGAGGGGGGAGAGGGCACGAAAGCGGGGTGAGGTTTGAGGGGGAGAACGAATGTGGAGGGCGGGGGCAGGCAGAGTGGGAGGAACACGATGAGAAGGTGATGGGACGAGCAGATAAGGAGCGGATGTGAGTAGGAGCAGCAAGGAAAGACGCAATTATGTTGCTGATGCTGATGCTGATGCTGATGCTGATGCGCTGATGCTGATGCTGATGCTGATGCTGATGTGGTGATGCTGATGCGCTGATGCTGACGCGCTGATGCTGATGCTGATGCTGATGCGCCGATGCTGATGCTGATGCTGATACGCTGATGCTGACGCGCTGATGCTGATGCTGATGCTGATGCGCTGATGCTGATGCTGATGCGCTGATGCTGATGCTGATGCGCTGATGCTGATGATGCTGATGCTGATGCTGATGCTGATGATGCTGATGCTGATGCTGATGTGCTGATGCTGATGCTGATGATGCTGATGCTGATGCTGATGCTGATGCTGATGCTGATGTGGTGATGCTGATGCGCTGATGCTGATGCTCATGCTGATGCTCACTCTGCATCTTCCTGGAACGTGTGAACGTGTGAACTATCACTCACCTCTTCCGAACCTCCAGGTCTCACCTCTTCCGAACCTCCAGGTCCAGCTCTCTGCTCCACCCATACAGCTTCGCGTCCAGCAGGTCTGGCCGTGCCTCTGACAGCCTGGGGTGCACGGGATGGGGAGGTCCGGCAGGAGGCATGGGGCCGAGCACAGGGCAGGGAGCATGCAGAGGAGAAGGGTGAAGGGCACGCATGGCAGTGAGAAGGGCACGCATGGCAGTGAGAAGGGCACGCATGGCAGTGAGAAGGGCACGCATGGCAGTGAGAAGGGCACGCATGGCAGTGAGAAGGGCACGCATGGCAGTGAGAAGGGCACGCATGGCAG